TTCGCTCTGAATAGTTTATCCCAAATTCCAACTTTCTCTTCATGTAGAGTGGCTGAGCGAAGTGGAATGTCACTTTGAATAGTTTATCAGGAATTCTAAAGTTCTCTCTAGACTGAAGTGTTGACCAGTCAACCACGCAAACTTGTCTCGTTGGTAGCAAATGATCGTGAGGTTAACCCTTTTCATCCAACGATATTATAATGCATTTAAATGACACGCATCAAACGTTTCAAGGGTTAAAAGAGCGCGCGAACCCATAGTATTTCACAAGAAGTTCTGGGACTGGGAAGGGGAATGTAGGAAGAGCTTTACAACTTTAGAAGTGTATTTACACCTAGCTAGGTATGTACATGTACATTTAAGGACATACGTGATAGTTTAATTCCAGTAATTTAATTTCCCATTTCATTCCATTCTACTAAAGGACAAGTTTGAAATAGATAATGATCGTAGGTCAATGAAAGTAATAGATTATTTGTCATAAAAGGAAAAATATATTCTTAATTGGTATTGAACTTCGAAACTTTAACCAGCAAAATGGTTTTCAGTTATTATGTCTTTCCTTTTTTTCTTAATTTTGGCCAAGCTAAACTACAGCTTGGAGGGAAGATATACAAATTAAAATGGTGAAAAAAGAACCACAAGAATGCTTTGACTTTGCTCTTTGACAAATATTATTTTTAAAAATCTATTTCATACTAAGGATACAAAACAAAGTAATTACTGCTATGTCACTGATCGAAGTATTTGGTAATTTTGATAATGCAGAGTGAAAAAAGACATAAATAAAACTATATAAAACATCAAAACGAAATCACTTTTACACGGAAAACATTTTGTCTTTCAGAAATCGATTATCTATATATTGTGAGTAGATCTAATTACTTTACTGTTGATGTTATAAATTGAACCATTCGAGATTCTAATAGATGAAGCTAAAATATTAAAAATCTAGGTTGTTTAATATTGGATCCATTTTGACAGCTTTCTCACTGTAAAAAAATACATTCCCTTACTCAACTAAATACACATTATTTTTGGGGAATATCAAGCCTTCAAACAGATATGAAAAGCACATGTCAACATACCAAAATTAGAAACTGCGCCAAATATTCTAAAATTGTTGGTCAAATGATAAGCGGTCTAATTCACTCGTCGGTCGCCGTAAACATTTTCCAATCCTGATGTACTAGATATGCTTTCTAGTTCAGTCAAAGAGAATGTTGTTATTTGGAAAATGAAACCACTTGTATCCATATACTACCACAACATTAGACCCGTGAAGATCAGGGGTAGAATATAGGTCTTCAGCAACCCATGCTTGACGTAAAAGGCGACTATGCTTGTCGTAAAAGGGGACTAACGGGATCGGGTGGTCAGGCTCGCTGACTTGGTTGATGCATGTCATCGATCCCAACATTGCGTGGATCGATGTTCATGATGTAAATCACTGGATTGTCTGGTCCAGACTCGATTATTTACAGACCGCCGTCATATAGCTTGAATATTGCTGAGTGCGGCGTTAAACAACAAAAACAAAAAAAGACACAACATTAGATCAGCTGTTTCATTTGACGTCATCCACGTCACAGAACGCGAGGTCAAATCACGCGCACCTGTCCAGACAACAAATTCAGCGGCGGGAAATCACCGACCGTCTATAAGCCTATTCGTATAAAATTGCAGATTGTAACGAAATAGAATTAAGTTTACTCATTGCTGACATTTCAGATGGCATATCAAATAAGAATTGAAGACTTGAAATAGATTATCATACGTTAATCGAGAGTACAGTGTACATCAATAATTTGTAAATCTAATATTAATATTAGATCTAATATCCATGGCAGAATGTTGGAATATACTAGCTGATAATATATTCTATTTTCTGAAGAGATTAGTAATGTGTATTTGATGATATATATGCATACACAATTGGTTATCAATTATCTTGAACAATCACAGCATGTACGATGTACATTTGACACACGGAAAATACTATTTCAGCAAACCAATCATAGCGCCATCATCACAGTTTCAATAAAAGGAAAAACAAATCCAAATCGAACTTTAAAGCACATCGTATCCATAAGCGGTTAATCCAAAATTAATGCAAAAAGGTATTGCAGTCATCATTGTAGAAGTTATGTTAATGTTTTCAGGAGTATTATGTTTGTATCGGGTGTACCATCGACAGAAACGGGGACCGAGCTACCACAATCGGAACCGGCCTTGACACAGTTTGTTTACAATATGGCGTCGACTCACGTTAGATGTCGTGGCCACGTACACTTTTGAAATCTCCTTTTGCGACAAAATGTGAAACAGTTAGGGCAAGTCATTCACACGGTCGGGTAGTTTGAGCTATGACACATGACTCTTAAGTCATTTCATATGAAAAAGGTAGCAGTTATTTGTCTAAACGAGAGATCGAGCATGTAGGGCAACCGGTAGAGAAGAAATCGCGGCACAGATATGATGCGAACGTGCCCTGTCGATCACTTCGGGCTTGGCCATTGAATGTTTAGGTTTTGATTATGAACTTCCTGCCCCTAAATATATACTAAACCACCATAATATTAACGATCATAGCTATCTTTCCATATCTTTGATTTGAATATTTTCTGTAAATCAACATCATAAACAGAAGGACAATCTGCACTGTCGTTTCGTCTCTAGCGCGGAGCTAAATCGCCATGACAAATAGTTGATAAACATACTATGCAATATTTGAACAAAAAAACTTCCGTTGCGGACTAAACGTTGGTAGTCTAACGCCAATAACTGTACAGTGGGGAACAGTAAATCTTTCTGACAAGTCTTATGGATTTCTTTTTTCAAATTGGCTGTCTGATATTATAATAGTTGCGTGTTTGTGACATGGGTGCATAATTAAAAAATCGCCGTCATTAGCATGAAGTGCAACATGGCAGAAAAAGGTCCAGAGGCGCGGTAACCACTTAACTATAATCTCGCCATATTTCACGTTCCGTAGCACTGCATAAAATATGATTTACACGATATTAATGCTGAGATGATTAGGATGATGATGGTTAAAATTTCATTCAATGAACGTCAAAAATGTAATGGAAATATACACTGTCGTTTTCTCATGTGTACCGACCATCCCGCCATTTACCGATAGTCGATACAAATATAAAAAACGTGTAAATAAACTTGTTCGTAAAGGACTGAACAGAAATGTATGTGAGCAAGTGGAATCTAAGTTTTAATAATATCTTCCTTATTCCGTTTCCGCACAAACTAAGATTCACATTTCGGTTGTTATTGCCTGGCCGAGTTTTTTTTATAAAACACCCATCACCAAGTACGCCGCTTGATTTACTTTCTGCCTCAAGATATTCCAAGTAAGCATTTCAATAATCACTATATTTATTCCTCTGCTAAATAATGATGTGTTGGGACCATGTACATAGGTATTTTACATTGTTGCAGGATAGTTTAGTGTTTATCATAAAGTTAGACTTTTGGGTACCGCAAGGTCAATTTTCCCTTCTTACGTTAGCGGTATTTGTATGTTTACGAGTTGATTGATAATGGCAAACACTGTAAGCTACTGTTTCAGTGTTGTTATTGGTATAAGTAGATATCAGCACAAGTTAACTGCCCCATGTAAGACATAAGACTGACCAGCGTACTGCTGTGTTGCCGGTAAATGAGGCACACAGCTATGTATATCGAGTGGATGACATCATGCGTGATGTTTAGCTGGCATAATTAGAGTTAAATGTCTGTAGCAAGATGGCATTTAATTTTCGTGACTGAATGTTGATGTATATTATCAGATAGCATCCTTAAGTCAGTATATCTCTAGTCTAGGTAGTATTGTCAGGTATTTTATGGAAGTTATAGGCCTAAACTTTCATGTAGATGAATATCAGCGTCAAAGGTCAGATGTCACAGAGGTTATGGCGTTATGCTCTGTATCAATATTGTGCAAGCCATTTAACTAATATGTAATATTGGTTGCCATTATCTTTCTGGTACTTTGAGAGGGATGAATTGTCTTTGTTATTTGTGTTATATAGCCTAGCTGTACATGTACTAGATTAGATGTCTTAATTATAGGTTAAGACATTATGCTCTGCTTCAATATTTCACAGGCTATTTTAATCAGTATGTAATGTTTACTGGTATTATCATGATTATGTAGTTGGTACTTTGAATTGTGTTGTCATTAATACTATTGAGCTTAGCTACACTAGAGTACAATGTCAGAATATATTTGTTAGTTATCTGATGCTAAGTCATTATCTAATTGTTTTTTTGTGCTTTCAGGTTTTCTTGTCAGAGGCAGGCTAGTGAACTGCCGCCCTTATCTAACCCTGTCATTCACAAATTCTTATAAGTGGTTCTACTAATGAACAGACATTAAATTCAAGTGATGTGTGTTGTGACTATTAAGTGGACCTGGCTACGTGTATTTACGTGAATAAGTATACAGTTGGGAAAAATATGTCTTTCTGACCACTCAGGTCATATTTTTTCTTATGAACAAGGATTTTGTCTGAAATTATTTACGTGTATGTGACATGGGTGCCTAATCAAAATTCGCCGTCATTCGCTTAGTGTTCAAACATGGCAGAAAAAGGCCGAGAAGAGCGGTAGCTACTTTACTAATCTCGCCATATTTCGCAATCCTTAGCATTGTATAAAGTATGAGTTACACGATGTTAAAGCTAAGATGATTTGGGTGATGATGGTTATAGTTTTGACTTTGCGCACTCAGTGTTAAATATCAAAATTCACAGTTTAAAAAGGGCATTTCCTCGGGACCATATATGGTCCCTTGTCACTATGCGGGTGTGAAAAGTGAGGGACTATATATGGTCCCGTGGCACCAAGAGAGAGAACTTTAGAATTCCTGATAAACTATTCAAAGTGACATTCCACTTCGCTCAGCCACTCAACATGAAGAGAAAGTTGGAATTTTGGATAAACTATTCAGAGTGACATTTCAATTCATTCAATGAATACCATTTTCAAAATGATAGAACATTTGTTCGACACGTGTGACCCACACTGTCTCCCAAAGCAGCAGCCTTAATTCACACAGGGTTTAGGAATGCCTGAGGTAATGTATCCATCTAGGTCAATCAGTACAACGCCCATTCATACAGCCGGATATCGGATGAGGTAAACATTATTTTCAGAGTACATACCAACTTATTATCTCTAACTAGGGTACTGTAACTTAAACATGGGTTACCATAAGGGGGGACGTTTATTTCTGTAAGACTATTTACGGTGGTACATCACAGTATAGGGTTGAGGTGGGTAAAAGTTCTTAAAGCCTTGTGGAATAAGGGATAAATGCTACACGGAAGATATGTGTTTCGTGAATTTCAACAGGATTTGGAAAACACTATCGGTGAGATAACAATATTCTGAAACTGTTCATGTATCCTTAATAAGAACTTGGGATGTTTCATTTCAACCTAGCTTTTACAACATACTTGCATTCATTTATCATATGTTCGGTGAATAATATGGGATGTGAACCAGATATCATTTAAGAAGAACGTGTATGGTCAGATTTAGGGTTTAGATGGGAAACTACGGCACGATATAAGCGAAGGAAATCTTTCAGAGTTGGAAATTAAGATTGAAAATAAGAATAAGACAACGAAATATTTCACGGTGTGAATAAAGTAGAGAAGTATTTTTTTTGATAACTATACTATTTTTTATTCATTAATTCTAGTGAAAATGATTGATGGTATTGGTTGAATCATGGATTACGACGATTAAAAGAATTATTTCTAAAGCCTTATCCATAAAGGAATGTGCTGTGTCTGTACGATATGAGCGAAGGAAATCTTTCAGAGTTGGAAATTAAGATTGAAAATAAGAATAAGACTGACTTTTGACAACGAAATTTATCACAGAGTTGGAAATTAAGATTGAAAATAAGAATAAGACTTACTTTTTACAACGAAATATAACACAGTGTTGGAATTTGAGATTGAAAATGAGAATAAGACTTACTTTTTACAACGAAATATATCACTGCGTGAATAAAGTAGAGAAACATTTTTTTTTAAACTATATTCTTTTTATTCATTAATTCTAGTCAACATGATTGATGGTATTGGTTGAATCAACTTTTTTCCATTCAAAAAATGAAAGGTGCGTCTGTATTTTGTAAGACAAAACAAAAAATATATATTTCCTCGCAGTCGACTTGATGATCAAATGGTGAATGAACTCGTACATTCTCCTCTTCGTCTCGATGACGACATTCTACTTATTCATTGAGTAGCTATATCAAGAGATCGAGGACTGTTTCATTCTTTCACGATAGGGTGACATTCCCTTTGATGACGATCATTCTAGTATACATCTAAAGGTATCTACCCCGACTACATTCCACATAGCTAGCATTCCTAAAGAATTCCAAATAGCTGGCATGCCTAAAGAATTCCTCAACTATGACATTTTTTAACAAAGGTGGCATTCTTCACATTCTTAAAACATTCATGCATAATGACGCCGTTCTCATTGTGATGTCATGCATGTCTATTAGCATAACACTTGGCTCATGAATATTCATAGGGCACCTTCCACGGAAGATGCTGGAGGTATTACTTTTGATGTGGAATTTTACCTTTGTTGTTGAGACAGGATGATATTCCAAATCTTCTGTCATTATTTGAGATGTTCTGTAAATATTGTGATTGTGATTTTGAGTAAGATGAATGTCACTCTTTACTACTCTGCAGTTTTGTAGAGATTTACGGTTTCATTTCTTTTGTGCAGAAAACAATCCAAATTTTAATTTCACAAAAATTGCTTGAATCGTTAAAATTTAAGAGATGATCATGATCATTTAATTACATCATTACATTTTCCCTCTTTCGCTATCTACACTTTCGTTTACTTTCGTCATTGAATCAAGGAGTTTGTTACTGTTTCCTATGAGTCTTCTGCATTCTTATCTAAACTTCTCACCTCACCAATGATATGTATATACGTTTCTATTGTATAAAGTGTCTCATAATCCTATAATCAGACTGGACGCACTTTGTATGTCTTTTGTGTACGACTCACTGCTTTAAATCAATACTTCAGCTTGGTTTATTGCTCAGAGTTAATAAACCCTTCAACTTGAGGCTAGTTTATCTTTGTAAATGCGACCCAATTCAATCTGTCTGTCTTATTGATATTTTCAACTCTTCACGTCTGCATACTATTCATACCTCTGAGTCGTTGTCTACAATCTAGGTGACGTAATCGTTTGTAAAGCACCGTGACAATATGCAAGGAAGTAATTACCGTGGGTATTATTAGTGAATCCCGGTGTCACTGCGTGTTGTATGGAAAAGACATACGCAACAATATTTATTTGAAGAAATCTGGTATATGCAGCGTAGTCGTGGTCTTGTGAAGTGCGTTACACAAGGCCATAACAACGTGTGTGTACATGTGTGTAATGACACGCAATAGCTAAACCATTATATATATATATATATATATATATATATATATATATATATATATATATCACACTCAGATAATCCTGCATTTTGTAGGTTGCATGTGCGTCGTGCCCAAGTCTTCCGGATATACCAGGAACATGAAAGCTTGATATTTCATCGTCACATTCAACTCGAAATGGGAGACGTGGAGGTAGTGATATTTCTGGCTGTTGTTATCTCGGTCATACTTGTCATCATTTTCTGCTGTCTTCGAGTTTGGTAAGTTATATTACTAATAATAAAGTATATTGGATTTAACGCTGCTGTGAACAACATGTTAGTCATATCAATTCAAGCAGCGACAGTTTAGTGTTTGGATGGGAGGACCTCAGGATGAAACAGGGTGTAGAGTGAGTGAGTTGTGTTTGAAGCCACTTGAACATTATTTCAGTGATATTGATTGATGCTGTGACAGCTTAGTGTGTGTCTTAACGCCGCACTCAGCAATATTTCAGGTGGATGACGGTGGTCTGTAACTAATCGTGCATTTGCACACAGGTTTTTGTGGCCTCTGCAGTCCCTAACAGTTTTGTTTCGTTTCCTCTAACTGAACTAGAAGTCCAGATATGGTCGGATAGTTTTGGGAATGCACAGCTAGTCATTGTCAGGGAAGCTAGAGAACACAAACTCTAACCTGGTGTCCTCTTCTTGACTGTTTAAGAATATCAGCTATTCAAATCACTAAATACTGATTTCTAAAATCTGTATTGTCTACATGAATCAAATGAACATACAACTAACTTGATAGTAAGATCTTTCAAGTCCCAGAAGTTGGTTTTCCCAGCCTCAAAATTGTTTGTTGTATTCAGCAATTGGCATATCACTGGCATATCTCACCTCAGCTCTAGAATTTGCCTTGCCTTGTTGCGGGTAGCCTCCTTTCGTTTCGAAGTAGGGCCGGGAGTGAAAAACGCCCGTCTTGCTCACCCTGTCCATGGTGTCGTCAGTAGTTCTTTCTTAGATAAGGCTGCTTTCCAGCACATGGAGCTCGAGGTTTCCATGACGATTGCGCCTGCCTGCTACTGCAGTCCTTCAACCAAGCCAAGAATGTTTTAGAGTCGGTGATGTCATTGAATTGTTTACCATGGTCATTTCCGCTGATCTGTGACGGGTTTAGCACGTGAGCAGAGCTTTTTGAAGGCATCCTTTAAGTCAAGTTGAAATTGACTTTTCTGTGGTTCGTTAGTTCAACAATGGCACCAGACATCAGTCGTAAAGAATCGCATGACTTTTTGACCAACTGTTTGGGCCCTCCATGTTAATGTTTGTCCTCTGAAGCGTTCAGGACTTCGTTTGTCAACTCAAGTACAGGGCAGAAAGCCTTAGCAAAAAGGTTTTGTATTTTCTGCAGTTTAACATAAGTCAGTATATGCTGTGTGGTTTTGCTTCAATCCACATTTGACTGTTCACCCAAGGGGCGGACACATTTGGGCAGTTCTCAGGTTTGTTGCACCTATCCCCAGTCTTGGCAGGTGTATCTTTGGCTGGGATCTGAGTCCTTCGTTTAGTGTTCTACCAAGGGCATCTTTACAATTGGGTCCAAATTTGTCTTGGGTTTTGAAAAAATCTTTCAATTCAGATATTACTTTCAACCTGTGACGATCCGGAGTAGAATAGGTCTTCAGCAACCCATGCTTGTCGTAAAAGGCGACATTGCTTGTCGTAAGAGGCGACTAACGGGATCGGGTGGTCAGGCTCGCTGACTTGGTTGATGCATGTCATCGGTCCCATTTGCGTTGATCGATGCACATGAAGCCAACCACTGGATTTGAATGGTCCAGACTCGATTATTTACAGATCGGCGTCATATAGCTTGAATATGCGGCATTAAACAACAAACAAACAAAAAATACAAAAAGATATTACTACTTTAATGACATCCTTGTCAGTTTCATTTTCGTCCTCAGTTGAAATGTTGTCCACAAAGTCAGCAACTGCATCTTCAGGTTCATGATCTGACTTGTGATCGGTAATGCCGCCCCTGCAGGCACGGCTCAGCTTAATTTAATCACTGGCACCTGCGACTTTAAGCTTGAATGACGTACCTCGCTGGTCCCCACCGTGCCCTGACACCAGACTATCAGTGTCATTTTCATGGCACGGAGTAGACACTTGTGTCCGTTGATTTTAGTTAGTATCCGTCAATAATTTGATTGGTACAGCCGTTGGTGTTGTTCAGCCAGGACTTGAGCATGTCAGCGTTGAGGCTTTGGCCATGAATCTGCTCGTCTGTCTCTTCAGCTAAGGAACCTAGGGAACCTAACTCTGCCGCCATCTTGGTCTTCTTGGAAGGTCTTAACGTGCAGTTTTGGCAAGTTATCCTATGAAAATCCAAGGAAGGAGATGAACACCAATCTCCGAGTTCTTAACTTGAGGCCACGCTAGATGTAATCTATGAAGTAAACGCTAGACTACTATGAATACAATGGATCACATGAAAATTCCGTCAAGACAAATTAGGAATACATTCACTTCTGACTGACTAGTTTTGAATTGATGTTTGTACAATTTGTTTGCAGCAGACGCACAGTTCGAAAATTTAATGGATCAGAGATAAGTTTAGATTCAACTAGGTTTACCGGGTACCCCACACTCGATCTCCGTGGGAATTCTGTCAGTAGTGCGATTGACATGTTAAACCGGCACCTTAATTACGGTAAGTGATTCTTAAGGAACATGCTAACATTAACGTTTTCTTTCTTCCTAAGAACACTGCTTCCAAACGGCCGAAGAAAACATCGTTAAACAAGTGCTTTAGGGTGTTTCAAAGTCCACACTTTAATTTTTCATTTTTGTTTTTCATGGAATTTTCTCTTTTCTGTGTTGTCTATGCATAGTCCAATCAAAACCGCGTAACGAAATCGAAATCCGGTTCGTAAACTGTCGTGCAGATTTCGGTCGAGTGCAGGATTTGCAAAGCATGTGCATCGCCAACTAGTTGTCAGAAGATATTTTCCCAATCTTTTCATGTTTTTAATCAAGGTGCTCGTGTGATTTGATGCATTTCGCGATATAAGATCCGATTTATCACAATATAGATCTTGATTATAGATCAGATCGTCCTAACTGGACGTTCTGTGTTGTTTGTTTCCATACACAACTTTCTTTGTTTAATGCTGTCATTGAAGACAGAGAATTTTGTATCACTTGTGATGAAAGGTTCTCTGTCAAGCATATTTTGTTTGACTTCGAAGAGTTGATAATCTTAAGGCGAAAAGATCCATTAACCAATTTCAAAATAAAGAAATTGGTCTGCGTTATAAATTGTGATTGTGTGCTGAAATTACATGTTTATGTTATGTTTATTATCAGTTCATATATTTGTCTTGGTTTTTCTTGGTAGAAAGAGCATGCTACATTGTACCTCAAAAGTTGTGAAATGTAGACACCAAGGGCTGGGGCTGCAGGTAATATAGTTTGAAGACCTGCCTCTTGTCACACAGTCTTACGGAGACTACCATACCATACCAGTTATGTATGGCATGTTATGGATACAATACTAAATGTATAAGCAATCTATGAGATCGTTTTTATAACATAAAGAATCCATATATGTACCTGAATGTTATATCTTTTACAAAGGTCGGCCAATAACTGTCATCACCGGTCAAGGTCACCACAGCCAAGGTGGTATTGACAAGATACGACGAGCTGTCATTGACTATCTGGATGACCGTTCGTATACTTACAGGTATGTACTACTCCTTACACATGTAGACATATCTGAAGTGTCTCGTAATTTTCGATTAGGATGTAGTAACATGTAGCTAGAGCATTAATTTGAATTAAATTGCATTTTGGGGTCGACCATCTAATATTCTGGGATGTTTTTGAATAAAAGAAATTGTTCCTGGGAATACTGAAAACATAGGCCTCAAAGTAGGCATCAAATATTAGAGAAAAACATATTGTTCACTGAATGTGTCCTGCAAAGATGTGTTTTGAAAATATATATTGTCTTGCAGCAATGACCGTAAACATATACTCTGTTTGAACAAAAACGCTCTTCTTCTAAGAAAAGTAAATTATGGATACCGTATTCGACGTAATAAGCGCCCAGGGCGCTCTCAAAATTAGAAATGGGGGGCTCTTATTAGAATATTATTTTAGTGAAAAAAAAACAGAGTTAAAAGATAAAGTTTGTGGTGTATGCTGACAGCCTGAAATGTTTATATACGACAGATATATTTTTCCAGAATTTATTTGCCCATAAAGGATGCATATAACACACAAGTGAGTATTATACGCGAATAAAAAAGTCTTGTGTACATTGATCAATCGGAAGGGGTGCTCATTGGGTTTGTTCACTAGCCAATATATTAGCAACTATCGCCGTGGGCGCTTATTACGTCGAATACGGTACCTGAAAACACAGAACTAGTACAGAGGCATCTGACGGAGGTCATGCTGTATTTTGCTAACAATGGGTGGTTTTCTGTTCCCTTAATTGTTAACAAAACCTAGTTGCGTATTTACAAGTATTTTTTTATATTTTTCAGTTATGTTATTGATGACTTGAACCCGGGACGTATTCACATCCGTCGGAGTTAAAAATATTGATACATCTAAATGTAGTGGTTGTGTTCACAACAGTCACAAATAAATATATTAATACAAGTTAATAATCAAGTTGCAGTGTTTATATACACAGCTAAATATATTGTTAAAATGAAATGCATAGGTGAATTCCATCGAGTGTGTATGAATGAAAATATGAGCAAGTACAGAGATTCATGAACGGAAGTGTGTTCAACGCCGAATGCAATTAATGGTAAAGGGAGACAATAACTTAAACATGAATAATAACGCCAAGGTCACCCGAACTCAGTTACAATTTTGACCATCGTCAGAAATAATTGTTGCTTGGCATCGTCTTCCCATGGACTGAATCAAATTCTCGATGACAGGTTGGTTGGTTGGTTGGTTTGTTGTTTAACGCCGCACTCAGCAATATACCAGCTATATGACGGTGGTCTGTAAATAATCGAGTCTGGACTCCAATGATTGACATCATGAGCATCGATCTACGCAATTGGGATTGATGACGTGCTTCAACCAAGTCAGCGAGCTATGACAGGTCTTGGAATGTTCTGATAATCCTTCCGCGGGCCCCAAAAAGAATGATAGATATCGTGACCAGGAGGGACAGGGAAGGACCTGGATATTGTTTTGAGCTGGGAAAGCCGTGGTTAGTCTAGTCGTATGTGGTCTGGCATTGTGTTGTTGGTGGATGACGTTTTGATTGTTCATGAACGGAATTACATGAGATCTAATGATCAGGGTAACGTTGTGCTGTGAGAATAACGTGAACACAATCCGTTCCCATAACACCCCCACCTCCAAATCTGTCCACTTCTTTCCAGAGTAGAGGTCATACTGCTCATTAGACACGCGACCTTCCGTCAGGAGTATAAAAGCGACAACTTTCCTTCACTACTGAGGCCATTGGCGATGGTTGACGCCGAACTGTCGACGAAGGTGTCGATGTTGTCGATGTCAATGGTCTCCGGGGACGAATGCGAGCCTCGGGTTATGAGATCCTTGTGGTTTGATCGGAGATTCTACGGAGCCCAGGTACTACAGATGCGGTGGTTGTGATGCGGTTGTAAACCTGTTGTGGAAGGGATGAACCTGAGCGGGCGTGGTGTACAAGAACATGGCCGATCACGTATTGTTCCTTGTTGTTAAACACTGTTACAAAGTCCCCCTCTAGTGCTCTGGAACACGTTTAGACTCCTTGTCAAAGGCGGTCTCGATATTGTCCAATCGCGTTATTGCGCTGAGGAGACCGCCTCCGTGGCCTAGTGGTAGAGCGTCTCCCGGAGAACAGAAGGTACAGGGTTCGATCCCAGGCCGCGTCATAGACGTTAAAAGATGGTACTTGGAGTCAGTATACTGTGTCTGAGAGTGGGGTATTCATGTTAAACTGCGGCATGGTATCTCCGTGGGTAGCACTATAAATCGGCATCAGTCCGAACTTCGTTATATATGTGCAATAATCTTGGACAGGACGTTAAACTCAATTTCACCTCACCTCTTACGCTGAGCCTCAATGAGTCTAGGCATAACTTCAAACTTGTTTGTGCTTATTAATACTGTTGCTAGAACAGTACAATTTCGCGGTTTTATTGCTAAAGGCGTGCATGCACATGCAAATTCTGCGTCAGGTGACATTACTCATTTTTATTGCATTAACTTGATTTTTGTTGTGTTTTGGAGCTGCAATCAAATGGAAAAAGGATCCAAAATCGTAATCACCAAAAAAAAAAATACAATTGCTTATCAATATATGCATACAGGCCGGGGTACATTATTATAGTTTGTTTTTGTTTTGTTTGTTTGTTGTTTAACGCCGCACTCAGCAATATTCCAGCTATATGACGGCGGTCTGTAAAATAATCGGGTCTGGACCAGACAATCCAGTGATTGACATCATGAGCATCGACCCACGCAATTGGGATCGATGACATGCATCAACCAAGTCAGCGAGCCTGACCACCCGATCCCGTTGGTCGCCTTTTACGACAAGCATAGTCGCCATTTACGGCAAGTATGGGTTGCTGAAGACCTATTCTAGCCCGGAATTTTTCACGGTCTTCAGCAACCCATGCTTGCCGTAACAGGTAACTATGCTTGTCGGAAGAGGCGACTAACGGCATCGGGTGGTCAGGCTCGCTGACTTGGTTGATGCATGTCATCGACCCCAATTGCGCGGATCGATGCTCATGATATTAATCACTGGATTGTCTGGTCCAGACTCCATTATATTCAGATGGCCGTCATATAACTGGAATATTGCTGAGTGCGGCGTTAAACAACAAACAAACAAACAATATATGCATACTGTCTATACCCCCTCCATGATATTAATCTGCATTGCGTTTCTTTTTTTAGTTGTATATATTGATATATCAAGTGGTAGTGTTTATTTACTGCATAGTCACGAATTCTACTAAAAAGAGGGCGGTCACCATGCAGTCAATAACATATATCAGTGTAGGGTCCATGAACCGAACGTCAAGGGAACTGTATCTTGTTTACTCAAGGTATCGTAAATCGTCTATCTTGCGAGTTACGTCTAATCAATAGGGTGTACTGCTCATGTGACCCAAATGGGATTTGGGCGTATTTTAGGTAACATGTCAATTAGATCTTCCTGCTTTTCTCGGTGACTCGACAACTATCTTTATAGACAAATGTGTACTGTAAGATCGATTCATATATACCTGCTAAAAAATAGTGCAGAAGTCATGAATTGATTTTTGGAAACACGACTGAAATGAATGGGACAAAGTCTTTTCCATAATCATAAGAAATCTCTGCTAAACGTAGAGTCGATTGTACGATCATGAGTATGTCTTTATAAAACACCATCAAATAGTAATGATACCAGGTGTTCGCGAAAAGGCCACCGTATCCTGCATCATTATTGGCTCTCAACACAAACACATGCAAAGGAAAGGCAATTGTTCTGCTTAAAAAACAAGGGAGCATATATCTTACAAAACAAAATAGGGCAATGTATCGGACATGATTGAAACACCTTATACATGTGCTAAGCGAAGCACAGTGTTGTCAGCTTGACCTCGTTGCCGTCCTGTTTAAACATGCTGGGTGTATCGCATGGAACACTCTTATAATAGGTTTCAACAAAACGCCAGTGAGAGCTGATTCCATGAAAGGAGAGTAAAAATAGCAGCTGATTCATCTAATTCCAAGAAAGGTGAGTAAAGATCGCTGATTCAACGAAACTCGATTGATCCGTTTTACTTTCGTTTTGCGCGAAACCGTGCGACAGTAATTCGCCTTTACCGGTTTATACAAAAAAGAGCGCATTGTTGTGTTAGACAAACAATGGGATCGTGTATACAGAAATGTTGCTCATGTGAAAGCGCCGCTGTTTACAGTGATTCAGTATATCACGGTGTCAGCTGCGTGTTGTGGGTTTGTTTTGGGTTTGTTTAACGCCGCACTCGGCAATATTCTTATGGCACCTACAGGGTATGAAGGCTCACTCAAAACAACACGCTTTATAACGGTATTGATAACAGCTCGGTTGATGAAGTCCCCTAGGACGAAGTGTGTGAACGTGTAAGTAATGGTACAGAGTACGTGCAGTCTGTTTGCTCGAGCTGAATATGCGTATCAGAAGGGAGAATGAGCGATTTTACACACCAAGAAAGGCAAAGCTGTTGGTCTGGATGGTGTACCAGTTGAAGTTTTACAAACTCTCACTGATATATATTGTAAGTACTTTGTGTTTAAAATGGCATATCAGTATTAATGATGACAAAATCAAAACTGTTAATTTTAGAAGAAAACTGTTACATCTTATTAGCAGTTTTAGTGTGGCAATACTCCCCTCTCTTCTGATAGGGATTATTGGTATCAAGAATTGTGTCAAAACGAATATCTGCAAATGCACAAGACTGCAAAAGAGCTATGTCAGTCCGCTAGGAGAGGGTTATCTGGTCTGTAAACTAAATATATTAATGAACTTGTATACATGTAAGTGGCTGGTTGAACCAGGTTGTTTATGGTGCCAGTATATGGGGTTGAAGTTGTGCCGAATAATGCTGCCCGAATGTTTCTTGGTTTAAATAAATATGCACCTGTTCTTGCAAGAAGAGAAGATATGTTGAATGAGAAGATTGAATGTTTCAAATATCTTTTTAGTTTTAAGTCTATGCAGCAAGATCGCCTGCCTAATGTAATTCATCGATGGTCTGGATGTTTTACTACTTCTTGGGATAGTGACATAATGAACCTTTTGAATCAGTATCTATCTGTAATCACTTACTGGAAACTAGATGGGGCGTTAAACGCTGTGTTGGGTGTATTAGAAACGTTTTAATTCAAGATGATAGAGTTAAATGACACGCTTTGCACCTGTTCTTGCAAGAAGAGAAGATATGTTGAATGAGAAGATTGAATGTTTCAAATATCTTTTTAGATTTAAGTCTATGCAGCAAGATCGCCTGCCTAATGTAATTCATCGATGGTCTGGATGTTTTACTACTTCTTGGGATAGTGACATAATGAACCTTTTGAATCAGTATCTATCTGTAATCACTTACTGGAAACTAGATGGGGCGTTAAACGCTGTGTTGGGTGTATTAGAAACGTTTTAATTCAGGATGATAGAGTTAAATGACACGCTTTGCTTTGAAAATGATAAGGCAAGTGCAAATGGAAATAAGTTACGAACTTTGTTACGAACTTACAGAAAATCAAAGGTACACCTACTGTTGATTTCTATCTTTACAAAAATATGTATGGAGAACATCGCCATATAAAAGCCAAGTTTAGATGTGGAATTTTACCTTTGTTGTTGAGGCAGGAAGATATTCCAAATCTTCTATGTCACTATTTGAGATTTTGAGTAAGATTTTGAGTAAGATGAATGTCACTCTTTACTACAGTGCAGTTTTGTAGAGATTTACGGTTTCATTTATTTTGTGCAGAAAACAATCAAAATTGTAATGCTCTTTGCGACGAGGTAACATTTGTTTACTTCAAACGTTTCTCAAAAATTGCTTGAATCGTCAAAATATAAGCGATGATCTTGATCATTTAATTACATCATTACATTTTCCCTCTTTGGCTATTGACACTTTCGTCTTCATTGAATCAAGGAGTTTGTTATTGTTTCCTGTGAGTCTTCTGCATTCTTATCTAAACTTCTCACCTCACCCATAATATGTATATACGTTTCTATTGTATAAAGTGTCTCATAATCCTATAATCAGACTGGACGCACTTTGTATGTCTTTTGTGTATCAATTATATTTGTACATGTTGTGCGTGTGACACCCTAATAAACCCCCTTCCTCCCCCCTCCTTCCTTCTACTACTGCTAATCGCATGTTTGACATATCTCACGCTGTGTGTTCAACTGCTATCTGCTTACTGTGAGCAGGGAGACTGTGCAAAGACTACATCGGCTCACTGCTTTAAATCAATACTACAGTTTGGTTATTGCTCAGAGTTAATAAACCCTTAAACTTGAGGCTAGTTTATCTTTGTCAATGCGACCCAATTCAATTTGTCTGTCTATTGATATTTTCAACTTCTCACATCTGTATACTATTCATACCTCTTGAGTTGTTGTCTACAGCCTAGGCGACGTGATCGTTAGTAAAGCACAATGACAATATGCAAGGAAGTAATTACCGTGGGTAATATTAGTGAATCCCGGTGTCACTGCGTGTTGTATGGAAAAGACATACGCAACCATATTTATTTGAAGAAATGCGGTATATGCAGCGTTGTCGTGGTCTTGTGAAGTGCGTTACACAAGGCCATAATAACTTGCTGAACTATCACACACATATATATATAGCCCACTCAGATAATCCTGCATTATGTAGGTTACTTGTGCGTCGCGCCCAAGTCGGCGGGACATACCAGGAACAAGAAAGCTTGATATTTCATCGTCACATTCAACTCGAAATGGGAGACGTGGAGGTAGTGATATTTCTGGCTGTTTTTATGTTGGTCATAATTATCATCGTTTTCTTCTGTCTTCCAGATGGGTAAGTAATATTACTAATGATAAAGTGTATTGGATTTAACGCTGCTGTGAACAATATGTCAGTCATATCGATTCCAGCAGCGACAGTTTAGTGTTTGGATGGGAGGACCTCAGGATGAAACAAGGTGTAGAGTGAGTGAGTTGTGTTTGAAGCCGCTTGAACATTATTTCAGTGTTATTGATTGATGCTGTGACAGCGTAGTGCGTGCGTGCGTGCGTGCGTGCGTGTGTGTGTGTCTTAACGCCGCACTCAGCAATATTTCATTTACATGACGGTCGAACCTAACTCTGACGCCATATTGGTCTTGGTCTTCTTGGAAGGTCTTTTATGTGCATTTTAGCAAGTGATCCTACGATAATCCAAGGTCTCTCTCTCTCTCTCTCTCTCTCTCTCTCATGACTCCGAAGGAAGGATGGTGAAATGGAATTGATGTTTTTACAATTCTTTTGCAGTGAACGCACAGTTCGAAATGGAGGATGGTATAGTTTACAATCAATCAGATTCAGGTCCCTCCGTCAGTGATGCGATTAATACGTGAGAGCAGAACCTTAATATCCGTAAGTGATTCATAAGGAACATGCTAACATTTACGTTTTCTATCTTCCTGAAACAATGCTTCCAAACTGCAGGAAAAGCAACGTTTTAAGTCCATACTTTTCGTGTTTGGTTTACATGGAATTTCATGTTGTTTGTTTCCATACACAACGTTCCTTGTTTAACGTTGTCAGTGAAGACAGAGAAAGGGATTTTAACAACAATTTCCTGTTGGCAATTGTCACAAACTAACAAGGTAGAACCTACTGCATGTATCACTTGTGATGATAGGTTCACTGTCAAGCATATTTTGTTTGACTTCCTAGAGTTGATAATTGCAAGGCGTTCCTGTAATAAAGCAGAATATCGAAAAGATACGTTAACCAATGATTTTAGAATATATTGATCTGTAATATGAATTGTGATTATGTGCTGAAATTGCATGTTTTGTTATGTAAAATACAATTACATATATTTGTCTTTCTTTGTTTTTCTTGGTAGAAAGAGCATGCTACATTGTACCTCAAAAGTTGTGAAATGTAGACACCAAGGGCTGGGGCTGCAGGTAATATTGCCCTGCATAAAGGGAAAGTTGACTATTGGAAGTTTGAAGTCCTGCCGCTAGTCACACAGTCTTACGGAGATAAACCAGTTATGTATGGCATGTAATGGATTCAATACTAAATGTGTGATGCAATCTATACAATCGTTTTTTTATAACATAAAGAATCCATATATGTACCTGCATGTTATATTTTTTACAAAGGTGGGCAAATAACTGCCATCACCGGTCAAGGTCACCACAGCTATGGTGGTATTGACAAGATACAACGAGCCGTCATCGACTATCTGGATGACCGTTTGTTTACTTACAGGTATGTACTACTCCTTACACATGTAGACATATCTGAAGTGTCTCGTACTTTTCGATCAGGATATAGTAACACGTAGCCAGAGCATTAACTTAAATGGAATTGCATTTTGGGGTCGACCACCTAATATTCTGGGATGTTTTTGAATAAAGAAATTGTTCCTTGGAATACTGAAAAAATGGGCCTCAAAGTAGGCATCAAATTTTAGAGAAATACATATTGTTCACTGAATGTGTCCTGCAAAGATGTGTTTTGAAAATATATTATGTCTTGCATCAGTGACCGTAAACATAGACTCTGTTTGAACAAAAGCGCTCTTCTTCTAAGAAAAGTAAATTATGGATACCTGAAAACACAGAACTAGTACAGAGGCATCTGACGGAGGTCATGATGTATTTTGCTAACAATGGAAGGTTTTATTAATTCCCTTAATTGTTAACAAAACCTAGTTGCGTATTTACAAGTATATTTTTCTTATTTTTCAGTTATACTGTTGATGACTTGAACCCGGGACGTATTCACATCCGTCGCAGATACTAGTATATATATTGATACATCTAATTGTAATGGTTGTGTTCACATCAATCACAAATAAATATATTAATACATCTAGTTGTAGTGTTTGTATTCACAGCTAAATATACTACTAAAAAAGAAATGCATAGGTAAATTCCATCAAGTGTGTATGATTTGTTTGTTTGTTGTTTAACGCCGCACTCAGCAATATGACAGCGGTCTGTAAATGATCAAGTATGGACCAGATAATCCAGTGATTGACATCATGAGCGTGAGCAAGTCCAGAGATTCATGAACAGAAGTGGGTGCAAGGTCGAATTCAATTATTGGTTAAGGGAGACAACAACTTAAATAATGTCATGGCCACACGAACTCAGTTACAATTTTGACCTCCACCAGAAATAATTGTTGCTTGGCATCGCCTTCCCATGGACTGAATCAGATTCTTGATGACAGGTCTTGGAGTGTTATGATAATCCTTCCGCAAGCCAAAAAGAAAGCTGGCAACGTTTGAGGTACGGAATGATAGATATCGTGACCAGGATGGACAGGGAAGGACCTGGAAATTGTTTTGAGCTGGGAAAGCCATGGTCAGTCTAGTCATATGTGGTCTGGCATTGTGTTGTTGGTGGATGACGTTTTGATTGTTCATGAACGGAATTACATGAGGTCCAATGATTTCATCAGAGTAACGTTGTGCTGTGAGAATAACGTTAACAAGATCCGTTCCTCCACTGTGTGAGATGGTTGCCATGCCATAACACACCCACCTCCAAATCTGTCCACTTCTTGCACGCAGTAGAGGACATACCGCTCATTTGACACGCGACCTTCCGTCAGGAGTCTAAAAGCGACAATTTTCCTTTACTACTGAGGCCATTGACGATGGTTGACGCCGAACTGTCAACGGAGGTGTCGATGTCAATGGTCTCTGGGGACGAATGCCAGCCCCACGTTATCAGTTCCTTGTGGTTTGATCGGAGATTCTACAGAGCCCAGGTACTACAGATGCGGTGTTTGTGATGCGGTTGTAAACCTGTTGTGGAAGGGATGAACCTGAGCGGGCGTGGTGATACGTGGTGTACAAGAACGAGGCTGATCACGTATTGTTCCTTGTTGTTAAACACAGTTTCAAAGTCCCCCTCTGGTGCTCATGTACACGTTTAGACTCCTTGTCTTGTCTTGTCTTGTCTTGTCTTGTCTTCAAATGTCCAATCGCATTATTGCACTGAGAAGACCGCCCCCGTGGTCTAGTGGTAGAGCGTCCGCCCTGAGAACGGAAGGTACGGGGTTCGATTCCAGGCCGCGTCATAGACGTTAAAAGATGGTACTTGTTGTTACCCTGGCTGGTCGGCTCAGAGTCCGTATACTGTGTCTGAGAGTGGGGTATTCATGTTAAACTGCGGCATGGTATCTCAGTGGGCTAGCACTATAAATCGGCATCAGTCCGGACTTCGTTATATATGTGCAATAATCTTGGACGGGACGTTAAACCCAATTTCACCTCACCTCACCTATTACGCTGAGCCTCAATAAGTCCAGGCATAACTTCAAACTCGTTAGTGCTTATTGTTGCTAGAACAGTACAATTTCGCGGTTTTATTGCTAAAGGCGTGCATGCGCATGCTGCACGTGCAATTAATGCACATGCAAATTCTGCGTCAGGTGACATTACTCATGTTTTAGTCTGTTTTCAGTCGTACAAATGGGTATCTCATACCTCTAGTCGCACGTTAAAAGGAAGCCAGAAGCTCGAATGTAGACAATAAACTTGTTTCCGTCCGGTTGCGCACGCACCTCCCTATGATATGTCACAAATCTCTCAGCGCGCCTCTGAGCTGGTCGCTCGAGAAGGACTTTCGCGATAGACTGCTAGTTTGTTGTCTACTAGTACTTATAGTGTGTCTACAGTTGTTGTTCTAATAAAGTAATGATAATATGTCTTCCCTGTAGACTCCTGGAATGTAATCCTTGCATGGTAATCCATTGTTTGTGTTCAACACGTGTTTCACTGTTTGACTTGATTATACACGTGGCAACATGTCGGGCATTTGTGCCTCGTGTCAACGAAAACTGTCTAAAGTAGATCCCCACAAGTATTGTCCTTCCTGCATAATTAAGGACGGGTTTTCAACGTGTTCGGGGGATAAACGTTGTAAAGAATGTGAGCACTCGTCTTCTATCAACTTTAACTTGTATCTTCGTGCGTTGGCGAAGCGGGCTACTGACCAGCGCTACAAGCAGAGAAGGTCATCGGGTGGATCCTTGGACTCTGCACCCTCTACATCTGGCCCTGGGGGTGGCGCGTCGGCCACACCCAAGAAATCAGTTGATAAAGACCCGCCTCAGTCAACTTATGTTTTCGACAAGACACGTGACCGTTCGCCTGCTGTTGATACTACCCGCACGACTGATCTTCGTTGATCGAGAGCGTCACTCAGCCACCCCCGTTACGACGGGACCGGGTGGTGACGAGGACCACGAGGGGACTATGGTCCCCAGTCGGTCCGTCTCTCGTCTTGCCAACTACGATAGGAACGTCGTGCGGGTCGACAGTGAACACAGATCCCTCTCTAGAAGTCGTTCCCGTTCACGGGACGACAGGTCGAGGGCCTCGTCGAGAGACAGTAAACGACACGAGGACGTTCGTCGCCTTCGTGGACGTCGTGAGTTCGTTTCGGACGATAACTACGATGGGGATCGTAGTACTTCTACAGTAAGAGATCGTAGCCCTCGCCCCCACGGGGACGTGCGACGCTCTCGAAGGGAGTTTTTTGGAGATCAGCGTCGTAGAGCTGATGACCGATCGACACCCTCGTCTCACTTTCCTATCGACCCGACTTTGATAGCCCAGATCTCGACGGCGTCGACCAAGAAGAATTTGACTACGTTGGAGGTCCATGGACCATCGACCAGTACACCAGTTCCTTCATCTACGCCTACACAATCGACGTCGACGATGGATTGTGACGACAGCCCTCCTAGGCCTCCCAAAGACATTGAGTTGTTTGCTTGGCTATCTAACTTTCTGCCTGAGTTATCAAATGATGCCGACAAACTGACGCGTGCTGGCTTTAAAGTCGGAGATACGCCACAGTCTCTTCAGTTTTCACCTCCCGATGTCTTCAGAGCCATGGCTCACGATATGGACCAGAACTTTGCCTCTGCTCTCGGGACAGAGTTTCAACAAGCCGCCTGGTGGATCTAGTTACCCGATCTATGGCATGCCGTTTTCGTCACCCATGAGTAGGGACTTGGATTGGGGGCTACTCTTCAAGACACCAGCGCCCTCCAAGATTCTAGTAGAAGACAGACATTTGGAATCCATGGACACTGCTGTTCGTCACCAGCTACAACCGCTTGCTATGCTGTCCACAGCGATCGAGGCCCTCTCAGTGTATTTTGAGGAGAAAGACCCCCTCGACGAGGACGAAAGGACGGTGCCATCAATCCTCACCTGTATGCAACGGTGGATCTCGGACGTCCTCGCCCGATATGTATCGGGCCAGATTACTACGGCACGTCGTCATGGTTACATCGCCTGCACTGACCTACCTGATCGTCATGGCAGGACACTCTTACGGGCCCCGTGGTCATCGCAACAGTTGTTTGACGGTCGTACCAACGATGTTCTGGACAAGTACTCCAAGGAAGCCGAGCGTGACATCATCATTTCGGCTTCACACAACATGTCCAGGCGGCCACCGGTTTCGAACGCCCCACGACGCCGTTATAGAAACGAGAATGTGCAACGGGCCTTCCGTAGGGACGTGCCTCGACAGCCGTCCCGCAAGAGAGATTCCGACAGGAAAGGTCGCCAGGTCTCCTTTTCCAAGTATCCCAGAGGGGGAAAGGGCCAGCGGGGGAGGAAGTGAGGTCCCTTCCCCCGCCGTCGCCGTGGTTGGAGTCCCCCCCCCGGTGACACTACCTTTAGACGAGCTACCGGTAGGGGGGAGACTTCATCACTATGCCCACAAGTGGGTTTTCCTCAACGACCCTTACGTTCAGAACATTTTGACAACAGGCTACGCCCCACGTCTGAGATCGACGCCACCACTGACGTCATCCCCGACATTCCACATTCCACCAACAGATCGGCTGACGGAGGCCATCGATTTGTTGGTGGAAAAGGCGGCCGTACTTCGCCTAGGGACATCGGCACCATCGCCGGGGTACTACTCGCCCATCTTTCTAGTACCCAAGAAAAACTCCACAAAGATGCGGCTTATTTTCAATCTCAAAAAGTTCAACGCAACATACCTCCAACAACCCGACACATTCACCATGATATCCCTCAGCTCTCTGCGTCGGATGATATTACCGAACGACTTCCTCGTCTCGATAGACCTTCAGGACGCGTATCTACATGTACCAATAGCTTCCGAGTTCCAGAAGTACCTCCGATTCGAATACCAAGGTATTCATTACCAGTGGGCGGCCCTCCCGTTTGGAATTTCTACGGCCCCGTGCATTTTCACACGGATCATGAAGACGGTCGTAGAATGGCTCCATCGGCAGGCGATCAGGGTCGCCTTCTACCTAGACGACGGGCTCCAAGCTCACCAATTCACAGAAGCCCTTCAAGAAGAGTTGGCGACCACCCTGAGTCTACTACGGTACCTCGGGTGGATCGTCAACTTTCAAAAGTCGGACTTGGTTCCAACTCGGGATCTACAGTACATTGGGATACGCTTCAAGACGGGAGTCAATCTGGTCATGGTACCTCAAGACCGTTGGGACAAGATTGTCAGCAGCGTTCCGAGACTTCTACATGCCCCGGCGTCGGTGCACACGTGGCAGGAAGTCCTCGGTCTGTTGACATCGGCCAAAGACCTGACTCGCCGAGGTCGTCTTCAACTTTGTCCGCTGCAGAGATTGCTGTACCCCCACCTGGAGTTTCCCAATCTCCTGGTTCCACTTCCGGCGCAGCTACGTTGTTTTATGGAGTGGTGGCTCCAGCCGTCGAACGTTTGCGAAGGCGTCTTTATGAGCAAGCCTCCGTTCATACTACACCTATTCGTAGACGCGTCATTGGAAGGCTGGGGAGCGCACTTCGCGGACGACCAAGCGGCCGGGCTGTGGTCGCCAGTAGAAAAGGTCCTCCACATCAACTGCCTCGAGATGGAAGCAGTGATTCGGGCGGTCGAGTTCTGGAAACTTCGACTCCGTCGGAAACGGCTGATGATACAGTCGGACAACTCCACAGTCGTCCACTGCGTCAACAAACAGGGAACGACTCGGTCGGCGGCCCTTCTGGACCGGACATTCAGGTTCTTCGCCCTCGTCGACGACTTGGACATGGGCGTACGCGCCCGTCACATCCCGGGGGCCAAGAATGTGATAGCCGACGCCCTGTCGAGACCATCGAGGCCGTCTCCCACGGAGTGGATGATCCATCCGACAGTCTTTCATCTGCTGACAGATCGACTCTGGTTGCCCCAAGTAGATCTCTTTGCAACCCGGTACAACAACCGCCTCCCTCGATTCGTGTCGCCGGTTCCAGACCCACGGGCATGGGACCACGACGCTCTAGCGATATCGTGGGAGGGTCTAGACGCTTACGCGTTTCCGCCAACGGTGCTGTTACCATCGATACTGGTGAAAGTTCGTCAAACGGCCAACCTACGTCTGCTTTTGGTCGCGCCTTATTGGCCGGCCAGAACGTGGTTCCCGGAACTTCTTCAGATAATCGATCAACCACAGTTCCCGTTGCCAGATCGAGACGACCTCCTTCTTCATCCTCACACCGACGACTTGCATCCGGGGATAAAGAACTTCCAGCTTCACGCCTGGGTTTGCTTAAGACCTCGTTAATGAAGAAAGGCTATTCGGCTAAAGCGGCAGCGCTTGTCTCGTCGGCACATCGAGTTAGGACTCGTAAGCTGTACGATGACAAGTGGACCACTTTCTCCATTTTCGCCAGGTCTCATGGCTTCAACCCGGCGGTAGCGACCCCACCACAGGTGGCGGAGTTCCTAGTCTCTCTCCGGTCATCTCGGCGTCTGAAAGGGTCGACGATCTCGACATATCTGGCAGCTTTGGCTTCGGTGGTGCCGTCTCCTACGGGCGACAAGCTCACTAAAGTACCGGAGTTGCAGAAGATTCTACGTGCCTTCATGGTTGAAGATCAGTCACGTAAATTCCGACCGCCGGCCTGGGACCTCGATGTCGTTCTGCGCAACCTGTCTAGTCAGGCTTACGAGCCTCTCGATCAGGTCGCGTTCGACTTATTGTCTCAGAAAACGGCTTTCCTTCTCTCGCTGGCTACGGCTGCGAGAATTTCGGAAATTCATACCATTGACGTCGGTCGGATTACGTTCGATCAGCGTAACCATGGCAACGTCCATCTTGGCCTCAGATGGGATTTTTTAGCGAAAAATCAACTTCCTGGCCAAGATCCGAGAATGTTCCACATTCCTTCCTTGTCTGCCATTATGGGCCCTCATGATCACGCTGATCTCACCTTGTGCCCAGTTCGTGCGCTTCGTATTTACCTGCAGCGTTCTGAACAGCGACGACAACATTTTCGACGGCTGTTCATACCGCTCTCAACCAATGCAAAGAAAGAGATTACACGTAATACTCTCTCATTTTGGTTGAGAGCGGTAATTCTCAGAGCTTACGAGGCGCAAGGACTCGCACCTCCCACCTCCTCTCATCCGCACGAAGTTCGAGCCATCGCTTCAACATTAGCACTCCACAGTAATTGTTCGCTACAAGCTATTATGGAGGGCTGCTTTTGGAGATCTACTTCTGTGTTTGCTTCGCATTATCTTACTATAGAGATATCTCCACAGAAGATGTTGAAGGACTCAAACAGTTTGGTCCACTCGTGGTGGCACAACAGATCTCTCAGAAAAGACAGTGAATTTGTGTTTTATTCACTTTGGAGTTTTTGCTCGACACTTCGTGACATATAACAGGTTACAATAAAAGTTGTTGGTGAATGTACGCATTCTTATGGTTTTTTGTTGCGTGCAGTACTTCTGCTTTTTATTATGGTTATTCGGTGTATGCATCGTCTTCCCATACATTATAGTACTGCTCGTATTTTTTAGTTACTTTGTATACTGCGAGTTGCTCTGTAACTAAATTATGCGCCGACCTCACTTCGATCCGGGTTCAACTGACGTGTGCAGTTGTACTGTCGTATCGATAATTAGTTGTGTGTCGAAGAGCATTAACCATGCTATTTTAGTTACCTTGTCTACGGCGAGTTGTTCTGTAACTAAATTATACGCCGACCACACTTCGATCGCAATTCAACTGACGTGTGCAGTTGTCCTGTCGCTTCGATAATTAGTTGTGAGTCGAAGAGCATTAAACATGCTGTTTTAGTTACCTTGTATACTGCGAGTTGCTCTGTAACTAAACTATTCGTCGACCACACTTCGATCGCAGTTCAACTGACGCGTGCAGTTGGCCTGTCGCATCGATAATTAGTTGTGTGTCGAAGAGCATTAACCATGCTGTGCGTTCGTGATAAACAACTTATCTCTTCCGTGCATCTGGTCGAATGTTCTATTGTCACTACAGGGGTGAGGAACTTGGTACATTCGACGTGAAAGTGGTCACTGCCTGATTACTTTCCCGACCCTCCTTCCAGTGTTCCGTCGAATTCTACCCATTTGTACGACTGAAAACAGACTAAAACATGGGTTTTTCAGATTAAAAACGATGTTTTATTGGTCTGTTTTCAGTCGTACGTTCCCACCCAGCCATCCCCACAGGGAAGTAATCCAGTCCAGTCCTGCTCGATGGCTTATTCTTCGAGATTTGTGACATGTCATAGGGAGGTGCGTGCGCAACCGGACGGAAACAAGTTTAATGTTTACATTCCAGCTTCTGGCTTCCTCTTAAACGTGCGACTAGACGTGAGGGTATGAGAGATACTAATTTGTACGACTGAAAACAGACCAATAAAACATCGTTTTTAATCTGAAAAACCTATTTTTATTGCATTAACTTGATTTTTGTTGTGTTTTTGAGCTGCAATCAAATCAACAAAGGATCCCAAATCGTAATCAGCAAAAAAAAAAATACAATTGCTTATCAATATATGCATATAGCCCGTGAGGATTCCGGGGTACAATATTATAGGTCTTCAGCAACCCATGCTTGACGTAACAGGTGACTATGCTTGTCGTAAGAGGCGACTAACGGGATCGGGTGGTCAGGCTCGCTGACTTGGTTGATGCATGTCATCGATCCCAATTGCGCGGATCGATGCTCATGATATTATTCACTGGATTGTCTGGTCCAGACTCCATTATTTACAGACCGCCGTCATATAGCTGGAATATTGCTGAGTGCGGCGTTAAACACCAATCAAACAAACAAACAATATATGCATACTGTCTATCCCCCTCCATGATATTAATCTGCATTGCGTTTCTTTTTTTAGTTGTATATATTGATATATCAAGTGGTAGTGTTTATTAACTGCATAGTCACGAATTCTACTAAAAGGAGGGCGGTCACCATGCAGTCAATAACATATCAGTGTAGGGTTCATGAACCGAACGTCAAGGGAACTGTATCTTGTTTACTCAAGGTATCGTAAATCGTCTGTCTCTGCTCATGTGACCCAAATGGGATTTGGGCGTATTTTAGGCAACATGTCAATTAGGTCTTCCTGCTTTTCTCGGTGACTCGACAACTATCTTTATAAACAAATGTGTACTGTAAGATCGATTCATATATACCTGCTAAAAAATAGTGCAGAAGTCATGAATTGATTTTTGGGAACACGACTGAAATGAATGGGACAAAGTCTTTTCCATAATCATAAGAAATCTCTGCTAAACGTAGAGTCGATTGTACGATCATGAGTATGTCTTTATAAAACACCATCAAATAGTAATGATACCAGGTGTTCGCGAAAAGGCCACCGTATCCTGCATCATTAGTGGCTCTCGACACAAACACATGCAAAGGAAAGGCAATTGTTCTGCTTAAAAAACAAGGGAACATATATCTTACAAAACAAAATAGGGCAATGTATCGGACATGATTGAAACACCTTATACATGTGCTAAGCGAAGCACAGTGTTGTCAGCTTGACCTCGTTGCCGTCCTGTTTAAACATGCTGTATGTATCGCATGGAACACTCGTATAACAGGTTTCAACGAAACGCCGGGGAGAGCTGATTCCATGAAAGGAGAGTAAAAATAGCAGCTGATTCATCTAATTCCAAGAAAGGTGAGTGAAGATCGCTGATTCAACGAAACTCGATTGATCCGTTTTACTTTCGTTTTGCGCGAAACCGTGCGACAGTAATTCGCCTTTACCGGTTTATACAAAAAAGAGCGCATTGTTGTGTTAGACAAACAATGGGATCGTGTATACAGAAATGTTGCTCATGTGAAAGCGCCGCTGTTTACAGTGATTCAGTATATCACTGTGTCAGCTACATGTTGTGGGTTTGTTTTGTGTTTGTTTAACGCCGCACTCGGCAATATTCTTATGGCACCTACAGGGTATGACGGCTCACTCAAAACAACACGCTTTATAACGGTATTGATAACAGCTCGGTTGATGAAGTCCCCTAGGATGAAGTGTGTGAATGTGTAAGTAACGGTACAGAGAACGTGCGGTCGGGTAGCTCGAGCTGAATATGCCTATCAGAAGGGAGAATGAGCGATTTTACACACCAAGAAAGGCAACGCTGTTGGTCTGGATGGTGTACCAGTTAAAGTTTAACAAACTCTCACTCATATATTGTAAGTACTTTGTGTTTAAAACGGCGTATCAGTATTAATGATGACAAAATCAAAACTGTCAATTTTAGAAGAAAACTGTTACATAATATTAGCAGTTTTAGTGTGGCAATATGATAGGGATTATTGCTATCAAGAATTGTGTTAAAACGAATATCTGCAAATGCACAAGACTGCAAAAGGGCTATGTCAGTCCGCTAGGAGAGGGTTATCTGGTCTGTACACTAAATATATTAATGAACTTGTATAAGTGGCTGGTTGAACCAGGTTGTTTATGGTGCCAGTATATGGGGTTGAAGTTGTGCCGAATAATGCTGCCCGAATGTTTCTTGGTTTGAATCAGTATCTATCTGTAATCACTTTCTGGAAACTAGATGGGGCGTTAAACACTGTGTTGGGTGTATTAGAAACGTTTTAATTCAAGATGATAGAGTTAAATGACACGCTTTGCACCTGTTCTTGCAAGAAGAGAAGATATGTTGAATGAGAAGATTGAATGTTTCAAATATCTTTTTAGATTTAAGTCTATGCAGCAAGATCGCCTGCCTAATATTATTCATCGATGGTCTGGATGTTTTACTACTTCTTGGGATAGTGACATAATGAACCTTTTGAATCAGTATCTATCTGTAATCACTTACTGGAAACTAGATGGGGCGTTAAACACTGTGTTTGGGTGTATTAGAAACGTTTTAATTCAGGATGATAGAGTTAAATGACACGCTTTGCTTTGAAAATGATAAGGCAAGTGCAAATGGAAATAAGTTACAAACTTACAGAAAATCAAAGGTACACCTACTGTTGATTTCTATCTTTACAAAAATATGTATGGACACCATCGCCATATAAAAGCCAAGTTTAGATGTGGAATTTTACCTTTGTTGTTGAGGCAGGAAGATATTCCAAATCTTCTATGTAACTATTTGAGATGTTCTGTAAATATTGTGATTCTGATTTTGAGTAAGATGAATGTCACTCTTTACTACAGTGCAGTTTTGTAGAGATTTACGGTTTCATTTATTTTGTGCAGAAAACAATCAAAATTGTAATGCTCTTTGCGACGAGGTTACATTTGTTTACTTCAAACGTTTCACAAAAATTGCTTGCATCGTTCAAATAAAAGAGATGATCATGATCATTTAATTACATCATTGCATATTCCCCCTTTCGCTATTGACACTTTCGTTTTCTTTCGTAGTTGAATCAAGGAGTTTGTTATTGTTCCCTGTGAGTCTTCTGCATTCTTATCTAAACTTCTCACCTCACCCATAATATGTATATACGTTTCTATTGTATAAAGTGTCTCATAATCCTATAATCAGACTGGACGCACTTTGTATGTCTTTTGTGTATCAATTATATTTGTACATGTTGTGCGTGTGACACCCTAATAAATCCCCTTCCCCTTCCCCTTCCCCTTCCTCCTTCCCCCTTCCTCCTTCTTCCTTCTACTACTGCTAACCGCATGTTTGACATATCTCACGCTGTGTGTTCAACTGCTATCTGCTTACTGTAAGCAGGGAGACTGTGCAAAGACTATATCTACTCACTGCTTTAAATCAATACTACAGTTTGGTTATTGCTCAGAGTTAATAAACCCTTAAACTTGAGGCTAGTTTATCTTTGTCAATGCGACCCAATTCAATCTGTCTGTCTATTGATATTTTCAACTTCTCACGTCTGTATACTATTCATACCTCTTGAGTCGGTGTCTACAACCTAGGCGACGTGATCGTTAGTAAAGCACCGTGACAATATGCAAGGAAGTAATAACCGTGGGTAATATTAGTGAATCCCGGTGTCACTGCGTGTTGTATGGAAAAGACATACGCAACAATATTTATTTGAAGAAATCCGGTATATACAGCGTAGTCGTTACACAAGGCCATAACAACGTGTGTGTACATGTGTGTAATGACACGCGATAACTGAACCATCACACTGTGATGACTTTGGCAGCTACAACAAACACTCGGCTTTCCGGGGAAAGGGTGTATTCTCTCATTACATGTCAATATACACTCAGTCAAGTGCAGTCGGCTAGCGCACACACACACACTTCCGGCGCTGTTACACGTGTGCACTCATTTATCTAGAGACATTGTATGGATAAAGCAAGTGACTGGTTATATCATACTAAAACGCTACACACACACATATATATAACACACTCAGATAATCCTGCATTTTGTAGGTTGCTTGTGCGTCGCGCCCAAGTCTGCAGGAGATACCCGGAACAAGAAAGCTTGACATTTCATCGTCGCATTCAACTCGAAATGGGAGACGTGGAGGTAGTGATATTTCTGGCTGTTATCTTGGTCATAATTATCATCGTTTTCTGCTATCTTCCAGATGGGTAAGTTATATTAATAATAATAAAGTGTATTGGATTTACCGGTGCTGTGAACAACATGTCAGTCATATCGATTCAAGCAGCGACAGTTTAGTGTTTGGATGGGAGGACCTCGGGATGTAACAGGGTGTAGAGTGAGTGAGTTGTGTTTGAAGCCGCTTGAACATTATTTCAGTGTTATTGATTGATGCTGTGACAGCTTAGTGTGTGTCTTAACGCCGCACTCAGCAATATTTCAGGTAGATGACGGTGGTCTGTAACTAATCGTGCATTTGCACACAGGTTTTTGTGGCCTCTGCAGTCCCTAACAGTTTTGTTTCGTTTCCTCTAACTGAACTAGAAGTCCAGATATGGTCGGATAGTTTTGGGAATGCACAGCTAGTCATTGTCAGGGAAGCTAGAGAACACCAACTCTAACCTGGTGTCCTCTTCTTGACTGTTTAAGAATATCAGCTATTCGAATCACTAATTTTTGAAAAATCTTTCAGTTCAGATATTACTTTCAACCTGTGACGATCCGGAGTAGAATAGGTCTTCAGCAACCCATGCTTGTCGTAAAAGGCAACATTGCTTGTCGTAAAAGGCGACATTGCTTGTCGTAAGAGGCGACTAACAGGATCGGGTGGTAAGGCTCGCTGACCTGGGACGCATGTCATCGGTCCCATTTGCGTGGATCGATGCACATGAAGCCAACCACTGGATTTGAATGGTCCAGACGCGATTATTTACAGATCGCCGTCAAGTAGCTTGAATATAGATGAGTGCGGCATTAAACAACAAACAAAACAAAATATACAAAAAGATATTACTTTAATGACATCCTTGTCAGTTTCATTTTCGTCCTCAGTTGAAATGTTGTCCACAAAGTCAGCAACTGCATCTTCAGGTTCATGATCTGACTCGTGATCGGTAATGCCGCCCCTACAGGCACGGCTCAGCTTAATTTAATCACTGGCACCAGCGACTTTAAGCTTGAACGACGTACCTCGCTGGTCCCCATCGTGCCCTGACGCCAGACTATCAGTGTCATTTTCATGGCACGGAGTAGACACTTGTGTCCGTTGATTTTAGTTAGTATCTGTCAATAATTTGATTGGTACAGCCGTTGGTGTTGTTCAGCCAGGACTTGAGCATGTCAGCGTTGATACTTTGGCCATGAATCTGCTCGCCTGTCTCTACAGCTAAGGAGCCTAGGGAACCTAACTCTGCCGCCATCTTGGTCTTCTTGGAAGGTCTTTACGTGCAGTTTTGGCAAGTAATCCTATGAAAATCCAAGGAAGGAGATGAACACCAATCTCCGAGTTCTTAACTTGAGGCCACGCTAGACGTAATCTATGAAGTAAACGCTAGACTACGGTCCGTCTTTTGAATACATTGGATCACATGAAAAATTCCGTCAAGACAAATTAGGAATACATTCGCTTCTGACTGACTAGTTTTGAATTGATGTTTGTACAATTTTTTTGCAGCGGACAAACAGTTCAACAATTTAATGGATCAGAGATATATTTAGAATCAACTAGTTTCACCAGGTACCCCACACTCGATCTCCATGGGAATTCTGTCAGTAGTGCGATTGACAAGTTAAACCAGCGCCTTAATTACGGTAAGTGATTCTTAAGGAACATGCTAACATTAACGTTATCTTTCTTCCTGAAACAATGCTTCCAATCGGCCGAAAAAACATCGTTAAACAAGTGCTTTAGGGTGTTTCAAAGTCCACACTTTAATTTTTCATTTTTGTTTTTCATGGAATTTTCTCATTTCTGTGTTGTCTATGCATAGTCCAATCAAAATCGCGTAGCAAAATCGACATCCGGTTCGTAAACTGTCGTGCAGATTTCGGTCGAGTGCAGGATTAGCAAAGCATCTGCACCGCCAACTAGTTGTCAGAAGATATTTTCCAAATCTTTTCATGTTTTTAACCAAGGTGCTCACGTGATTTGATGCATTTCGCGATATTAGATCCGATTTATCAAAATATAGATCTTGAGTATAGATCAGATCGTCCTAACTGGACGTTCTGTACATGTGTTGTTTGTTTCCATACACAACTTTCCTTGTTTTACGCTGTCATTGAAGTGAGTGAGTGAGTATGGTTTTACAGCGCTGTTAGCAATATTCCAGCAATATCACAGCGGGGGGACACCAGAAATGGGCTTCACACATTGTACCCATGTCGCTGTCATTGAAGACAGAGAAATTATGTATCACTTGTGATGAAAGGTTCTCTGTCAAGCATGTTTTGTTTGACTTCCTAGAGTTGATAATCGCAAGGCGAAAAGATCCATTAACCCATGATTTGAAAATAAAGAAATTGGTCTGCGTTATAAATTGTGATTGTGTGCTGAAATTACATGTTTATGTTATGTTTATTATAGGTTCATATATTTGTCTTGTTTTTCTTGGTAGAAAGAGCATGCTACATTGTACCTCAAAAGTTGTGAAATGTAGACACCAAGGGCTGGGGCTGCAGGTAATATTGCTCCGCATAAAGGGAAAGTTGACTATTTGAAGTTTGAAGTCCTGCCTCTTGTCACACAGCCTTATGGAGATAAACCAGTTATGTATGGCATGTAATGGATTCAATACTAAATGTATGATGCAATCTATACGATCGTTTTTATAACATGAAGAAGCCATATATGTACCTGCATGTTATATTTTTTACAAAGGTGGGCCAATAACTGTCATCACCGGTCAAGGTCACCACAGCTATGGTGGTATTGACAAGATACGACGAGCCGTCATCGACTATCTGGATGACCGTTTGTATACTTACAGGTATGTACTACTCCTTACACATGTAGACATATCTGTAGTGACTCGTAGTTTTCGATCAGGATGTAGTATCGTGAGCCAGAGCATTAACTTAAATTAAATTGCATTTTGGGGTCGACCACCTAATATTCTGGGATGTTTTTGAATAAAAGAAATTGGGAATACTGAAAACATAGGCCTCAAATATTAAAGAAAAACCTATTGTTCACTGAATTTGTCCTGCAAAGATGTGTTTTGAAAATAAATTATGCTGTGACCGTATACATACTCTGTTGAAAAAAACCCGCTCTTCTTCCAAGAAAAGTCAATTATGGATACCTGAAAACACAGAACTAGTGCAGAGGCATCTGACAGAGGTCGTGCTGTATTTTGCTAACAATGGGTGGTTTTCTGTTCCCTTAATTGTTAACAAAACCTAGTTGCGTATTAACAAGTATATTTTTCTTATTTTTCAGTTATACTATTGATGACTTGAACCCGGGACGTATTCACATCCATCGCAGATACTAGTATATATATTGATACATCTAATTGTAATGGTTGTGTTCACATCAATCACAAATAAATATATTAATACATCTAGTTGTAGTGTTTGTATTCACAGCTAAATATACTACTAAAAAAGAAATGCATTGGTAAATTCCATCAAGTGTGTATTATTTGTTTGTTTGTTGTTTAACGCCGCACTCAGCAATATGACAGCGGTCTGTAAATGATCAAGTATGGACCAGATAATCCAGTGATTGACATCATGAGCGTGAGCAAGTACAGAGATTCATGAACGGAAGTGGGTTCAAGGTCGAATGCAAGTATTGGTAAAGGGAGACAACAACTTAAATAATGTCATGGCCACACGAACTCAGTTACAATTTTGACCTCCACCAGAAATAATTGTTGCTTGGTCATCGCCTTCCCATGGACTGAATCAGATTCTTGATGACAGGTCTTGGAGTGTTATGATAATCCTTCCGCAAGCCAAAAAGAAAGCTGGCAAAGTTTGAGGTTCGGAATGATAGATATCGTGACCAGGATGGACAGGGAAGGACCTGGAAATTATTTTGAGCTGGGAAAGCCGTGGTCAGTCTAGTCATATGTGGTCTGGCATTGTGTTGTTGGTGGATGACGTTTTGATTGTTCATGAACGGAATTACATGAGGTCCAATGATTTCATCAGAGTAACGTTGTGCTGTGAGAATAACGTTAACAAGATCCGTTCCTCCACTGTGTGAGATGGTTGCCATCCCATAACACACCCACCTCCAAATCTGTCCACTTCTTGCAAGCAGTAGAGGACATACCGCTCATTTGACACGCGACCTTCCGTCAGGAGTCTAAAAGCGACAATTTTCCTTCACTACTGAGGCCATTGACGATGGTTGACGCCGAACTTTCGACGGAGGTGTCGATGTTGTCGATGTCAATGGTCTCCGAGGACGAATGCCAGCCTCACGTAATCAGTTCCTTGTGGTTTGATCGGAGATTCTACAGAGCCCAGGTACTACAGATGCGGTGGTTGTGATGCGGTTGTAAACCTGTTGTGGAAGGGATGAACCTGAGTGAGTGAGTATGGTTTTACGCCGCTTTTAGCATTATTCCAGCAATATCACGGCGGGGGACACCAGAAATGGGCTTCACACATTGTACCCATGTCGGGAACGAACCTGGGTCTTCTGCGTGACGAGCGAACGCTTTAACCACTAGGCTACCCGACCGTCCCGGATGAACCTGAGCGTGCGTGGTGATACGTGGTGTACAAGAACATGGCTGATCACGTATTGTTCCTTGTTAAACACGGTTTCAAAGTCCCCCTCTGGTGCTCTTGTACACGTTTAGACTCCTTGTCACAGCCGGTCTCCAAATGTCCAATCGCATTATTGCACTGAGAAGACCGCCTCCGTGGTCTAGTGGTAGAGCGTCCGCCCGGAGAACGGAAGGTACGGGGTTCGATATCTGGCCGCTTCATAGACGATAAAGATGGTACTTGTTGTTACCCTGGCTGGTCGGCTCGGAGTCAGTACACTGTGTCTGAGTGGGGTATTTATGTTAAACTGCGGCATGGTATCTCAGTGAGCTAGCACTATAAATCGGCATCAGTCCGGACTTCGTTATATATGTGCAATAATCTTGGACGGGACGTTAAACCCAATTTCACCTCATCTCATCCATTACGCCGAGCCTCAATGACCTAGGCATAACTTCAAACTCGTCAGTGCTTATTAACACTGTTGCTAGAACAGTACAATTTCGCGGTTTTATTGCTAAAGGCGTGCATGCGCATACTGTACGTGCAATTAATGCACATGCAAATTCTGCGTCAGGTGACATTACTCATTTTTATTGCATTAACTTGATTATTGTTGTGTTTTGGAGCTGCAAACAAATCAACAAAGGACCCAAAATCGTCATCAGCAAAAAGAAAATACAAATGCTTATCAATATATGCATAGAGGCCGTGGAGATTCCGGGGTAGAATGATAGGTCTTCAGCAACCCAGGCTTGCCGTAAAAGGTGACTATGCTTGTCGTAAAGAAATGCATTGGTAAATTCCATCAAGTGTGTATTATTTGTTTGTTTGTTGTTTAACGCCGCACTCAGCAATATGACAGCGGTCTGTAAATGATCAAGTATGGACCAGATAATCCAGTGATTGACATCATGAGCGTGAGCAAGTACAGAGATTCATGAACGGAAGTGGGTTCAAGGTCGAATGCAAGTATTGGTAAAGGGAGACAACAACTTAAATAATGTCATGGCCACACGAACTCAGTTACAATTTTGACCTCCACCAGAAATAATTGTTGCTTGGTCATCGCCTTCCCATGGACTGAATCAGATTCTTGATGACAGGTCTTGGAGTGTTATGATAATCCTTCCGCAAGCCAAAAAGAAAGCTGGCAAAGTTTGAGGTTCGGAATGATAGATATCGTGACCAGGATGGACAGGGAAGGACCTGGAAATTATTTTGAGCTGGGAAAGCCGTGGTCAGTCTAGTCATATGTGGTCTGGCATTGTGTTGTTGGTGGATGACGTTTTGATTGTTCATGAACGGAATTACATGAGGTCCAATGATTTCATCAGAGTAACGTTGTGCTGTGAGAATAACGTTAACAAGATCCGTTCCTCCACTGTGTGAGATGGTTGCCATCCCATAACACACCCACCTCCAAATCTGTCCACTTCTTGCAAGCAGTAGAGGACATACCGCTCATTTGACACGCGACCTTCCGTCAGGAGTCTAAAAGCGACAATTTTCCTTCACTACTGAGGCCATTGACGATGGTTGACGCCGAACTTTCGACGGAGGTGTCGATGTTGTCGATGTCAATGGTCTCCGAGGACGAATGCCAGCCTCACGTAATCAGTTCCTTGTGGTTTGATCGGAGATTCTACAGAGCCCAGGTACTACAGATGCGGTGGTTGTGATGCGGTTGTAAACCTGTTGTGGAAGGGATGAACCTGAGTGAGTGAGTATGGTTTTACGCCGCTTTTAGCATTATTCCAGCAATATCACGGCGGGGGACACCAGAAATGGGCTTCACACATTGTACCCATGTCGGGAACGAACCTGGGTCTTCTGCGTGACGAGCGAACGCTTTAACCACTAGGCTACCCGACCGTCCCGGATGAACCTGAGCGTGCGTGGTGATACGTGGTGTACAAGAACATGGCTGATCACGTATTGTTCCTTGTTAAACACGGTTTCAAAGTCCCCCTCTGGTGCTCTTGTACACGTTTAGACTCCTTGTCACAGCCGGTCTCCAAATGTCCAATCGCATTATTGCACTGAGAAGACCGCCTCCGTGGTCTAGTGGTAGAGCGTCCGCCCGGAGAACGGAAGGTACGGGGTTCGATATCTGGCCGCTTCATAGACGATAAAGATGGTACTTGTTGTTACCCTGGCTGGTCGGCTCGGAGTCAGTACACTGTGTCTGAGTGGGGTATTTATGTTAAACTGCGGCATGGTATCTCAGTGAGCTAGCACTATAAATCGGCATCAGTCCGGACTTCGTTATATATGTGCAATAATCTTGGACGGGACGTTAAACCCAATTTCACCTCATCTCATCCATTACGCCGAGCCTCAATGACCTAGGCATAACTTCAAACTCGTCAGTGCTTATTAACACTGTTGCTAGAACAGTACAATTTCGCGGTTTTATTGCTAAAGGCGTGCATGCGCATACTGTACGTGCAATTAATGCACATGCAAATTCTGCGTCAGGTGACATTACTCATTTTTATTGCATTAACTTGATTATTGTTGTGTTTTGGAGCTGCAAACAAATCAACAAAGGACCCAAAATCGTCATCAGCAAAAAGAAAATACAAATGCTTATCAATATATGCATAGAGGCCGTGGAGATTCCGGGGTAGAATGATAGGTCTTCAGCAACCCAGGCTTGCCGTAAAAGGTGACTATGCTTGTCGTAAAGAAATGCATTGGTAAATTCCATCAAGTGTGTATTATTTGTTTGTTTGTTGTTTAACGCCGCACTCAGCAATATGACAGCGGTCTGTAAATGATCAAGTATGGACCAGATAATCCAGTGATTGACATCATGAGCGTGAGCAAGTACAGAGATTCATGAACGGAAGTGGGTTCAAGGTCGAATGCAAGTATTGGTAAAGGGAGACAACAACTTAAATAATGTCATGGCCACACGAACTCAGTTACAATTTTGACCTCCACCAGAAATAATTGTTGCTTGGTCATCGCCTTCCCATGGACTGAATCAGATTCTTGATGACAGGTCTTGGAGTGTTATGATAATCCTTCCGCAAGCCAAAAAGAAAGCTGGCAAAGTTTGAGGTTCGGAATGATAGATATCGTGACCAGGATGGACAGGGAAGGACCTGGAAATTATTTTGAGCTGGGAAAGCCGTGGTCAGTCTAGTCATATGTGGTCTGGCATTGTGTTGTTGGTGGATGACGTTTTGATTGTTCATGAACGGAATTACATGAGGTCCAATGATTTCATCAGAGTAACGTTGTGCTGTGAGAATAACGTTAACAAGATCCGTTCCTCCACTGTGTGAGATGGTTGCCATCCCATAACACACCCACCTCCAAATCTGTCCACTTCTTGCAAGCAGTAGAGGACATACCGCTCATTTGACACGCGACCTTCCGTCAGGAGTCTAAAAGCGACAATTTTCCTTCACTACTGAGGCCATTGACGATGGTTGACGCCGAACTTTCGACGGAGGTGTCGATGTTGTCGATGTCAATGGTCTCCGAGGACGAATGCCAGCCTCACGTAATCAGTTCCTTGTGCTTTGATCGGAGATTCTACAGAGCCCAGGTACTACAGATGCGGTGGTTGTGATGCGGTTGTAAACCTGTTGTGGAAGGGATGAACCTGAGTGAGTGAGTATGGTTTTACGCCGCTTTTAGCATTATTCCAGCAATATCACGGTGGGGGACACCAGAAATGGGCTTCACACATTGTACCCATGTCGGGAACGAACCTGGGTCTTCTGCGTGACGAGCGAACGCTTTAACCACTAGGCTACCCGACCGTCCCGGATGAACCTGAGCGTGCGTGGTGATACGTGGTGTACAAGAACATGGCTGATCACGT